CTCTCGTCGTAGTTGACATAAAGAGAAGTTGACATTTCAACTTCCAGTAGAGGACACCGCTACCATTACAGAAAAGTCGATCACAACAGTTCAAAACCTCATATTATAATATCTCCTGGCCAAATTATACATAATTCAACTAGCAATATGAACTCACCAGTAATGTATAAAATTGTTCAATCAACACTGACACGATTCGCAGCAATCGCATCGAAATAGGAAACACCGGTTTTTCCAAAGGAGGATCGCCCGAATTACCAGAAACTTGTCGGAATTTGATACTCGGGGAAAATAACTTGATGACAAGAGGGCAAACTCTTTCCTTGAGAAGAAAACTGAATTCCGGATGCTACGAAGACAAAATAATAATTGGTCTTATCGCCAGGATGCATTTTAATAATGATGAGAACGTTTTAATGTAAAGATAGAATGCAAACTTTGCACTCAACATAAATATTGCAGACCTCATGAGAGACGTGTATAACGTACAACAATCCATCTGTTAGAATTCCTTACCTTAAGAAATACATTAGGAAAGCTCTTGAGAATACTTTCAAGTAATTCAAGACCAAATGTTCGTATCATTCCGTCAACAGCAACCAACCAATATGGTTGCTCGCCATTCGTCAATTGACACAGATCCTACAACGACATATTATTTTATCTTGTAGGCAAATTATGAACGTATCGCTGTTTGTGTTTTTTTTTGTTCAAAACAAGCCTGGTATTCAATAAACTTAATCAAATTAAAATTCATGGACAACTAAATTAAACAAAGAAATATTATCAGTACAATTCCAAAGGAGAATGCACTGTAATAGAAGACCGTTTGTTTCGAAATGTCGAAAAGTTTCTCTGCATTTCCACCAATAATCAAATAAACTTCCTACGTTAACATAACAATAAATTGCTTTGAAGAACTTTGTAAGAATTCAGTTGCGTTCAAAGACAACGTAATTACCTGGAATATGAGATAGGCATCTCGTGCAAACGGTTTTAAGCTCACAGGACAATTCTTATGTCGAGGACTATTTGACGGCATTACTTCGGGTTCATTATCTGCAACAGAGAAGGAGATTTCAAGCGTACTTACTGCACGTACGACTTATTACAAAACTCTTCAAAAACAAACTAAATGATTGTTTAGCGATAACTACTATCTTTGGTGTGACCTCTTCTTCGGGTAAGTCGAATTGATTACATGATTTGAGTCCAGTTTTTCTAACGTGGATCGTTACTATCCAGGATTTGAAGATATCTCATTAAATTATCGAAATATCAACCGAACCGAAGTTTAAGTTAATCATCTTAATCCACGTTACAAGTTATTTTCTATTGAAAGATGAATGAAACTGAAGTTTTCTAAACATTCTTTGCTTTGAAGATTTGCCCATATTGAGCAACTTCACGGAGATGTTATGAAATTAAAAGACTGGTAATCTCAAATCTCCCATTGAAGTTTAAATAAACGCACATGGGTAGCTAACGTTAAGGCTGTTAATTCAAACATTGGGTAGCAGTGAAACCTATCATAATTTATGATGCTTTCCTATGCTTCAAACGTTTAAAGTTTAACAGCGTAGCCGGAGAATCATTTCGGCAAAATTAACGGACTTCGGTACATATTGAATTTAAAGTGCTCAACATTTTTTCACAAACCGACCGTTCACCTTGCAAAGCTTAGAACAGTCTATCAGTTGAGGGCTGGAAAAATAAACGTAATGATATATCACCTTCGTTCAAACTGTCTTCATATACAACTCTATCAAAAGCAGCAGACACAATTTGCCTAACACTCGCAGCTGCAGTGATACTGACTGTTGGGTCTTTGAAAAAATACAGCTTAAAACAGAGCATGACTGCCTGAAAACAAAAAACATGTATGCAACTGAATCAATATACTTCCATAATAGACTTCTTGACATTATTGAGAGGTGGTTGTAAAACAGTTTTGCTACCAAATACTCCCAATTGAGATATGAAAAAGATTTGTTGATAAATGAGTTTGCAATGAATTACCTTCGCAAACGAGTCCCCCCTTACAATTCTTGTAGTTGTCAATATCAAAGCAACGTCTGCAAGATCCTCAATTCTTCAAGTCCACTCTCCATAATGAGCCACAATGTGTCAATCAGATTCTGCAGAGGTCTTAAGGAAATTTGAAAGAGGGAAGAAAAACACTAAAGAACATTGACTGTATCAAAAAATCAAACATATGATTTGAAAATGTGAGACAAATGTAGTGAAATGTGGTTCAGCCCTCAATAGCTTGATTACATGGAGGTTTTTTCACTCAAACAGTTTCCACTGACAAAATGCATGCATTGAACATAAAATTCTCATCCTACATTCTGCAATTACAACACACAGTGTTGTCTTGAATACCTCTGATACAGCCTGATGTGAGATAAGCCTTTGCAATGCTGTTAGCGATATTTGAACAACACGAAGACTCTTTGTGTCGCATCCCAGTATGAATGGTTGAATAATATCATTCTCTTCCGACAGAACTGGATAGAAATTAGATGGAATGTTTGACATTAAAATAAAAATAAAAATTGAAGCTTTCTCCGTAAGGAAATCAGATAAAGAGTAAATTATAGAGCAATATACCCTAATGCTTTTGCTTTCTGATAAAAAAATGATCTTCTATCTAATAGGTACATAAAACCTCACTTTTGTATGAATGATCATACATATTCTTAAAATGTTTCACCTTAAAACTGGGTATAAAATGATAGTAAGACATTAGAATGAATATTTGGTTAGTACATCAACCATGTTGGTTGTATCACACGAAAGCATTTGTAGGGATGCAAGCCAATGCAGGCAAGCATCATCGTTTTCTAAAATAAAGGAAACTTAACCACATCCTATGAAAAGAGTTTATCCCCATACCTCTGTAGATATCTTTGTCTTTCTGGTATATTGCAGGTAGATTTCTGCTTCAGAATTCCCTTCTGATGCCTACATTAAAAATATGAAAAATTGCTTAACAATTAAAAAGCAAGTTTTTCCTCAAACGAGTTTCATTGTGTTGCATTATTATTGCCAATTGACGACTATGCTGTATAGTTGGTTAACAATGAAATAACAAATATGGTGAACATTGAGTGGTAACTGCTGGGTAAAAAGCCAAGGCTTTCATCATATTTGAATCAAAATTAATAAAAGATCAATAAAACTCCATGGTATTAAGCAAAACAAAATCAGGAAATCCTTCTCATGATCTCATGTTAATAAGTTGCAAATACTGACGTCGTTAGCACGTTTTATATCAAGTAAGAAAAGATCAATCAATATTTATTGACAAATAATTGAGTTCGATAAACTGGCAAAATAACTTACACAAAGACGCAACAATGAAATAAATACCCCGACAAAATGCATGCACGTCAAACATAAAACAAAAATAAAATGGCCACGTATCAAATTCACAATCAATGAATCAAATGACCATTCCACTAAAAAACATATACTTACTTCTTTCACTGGTTGAAATTTCTTTTTTTCATTAGACAATGCTCGAAAGTCCGAATGAAGAGCCTCGATGAACTTTTCGAGCGATCATTCATGATTGTACAGATTTCACGCTTTCAATGATTTATTGACAGTATTGTCGACGTTGGCGAATTCCGTAAGTTGATTAACTCTGTAAATTTAGTATATATTACGGCGTTACATCTCTGCCTTCAAAGCCCAATTTGGAGTTTCAACCATCTATATCTGACGCTGTCCCCAAGAAAACGTCAACAGTTTATGGAAACAATATTTTAATGCGAGAAAAGATTCGAAAGATAATTGCAACATTTCTCCATATTGAATTTGACATTCCAGAAATCTAAACTTGTTTCCATCCATCAAAATAACACGCGAGCATTTGCTTTACGTTAGCTCAGAGTGCAATTGAGTGCAATGCTTCCAAATAAAAAATACACGCAAACACAGAGCCATTCAAGGGAGCAGTGGAGAAAATTAAAAAGTCGTCATTTCATGGGAGCGACATGAACGATATTTCAAAATGACGGATTCAGACAATTTAAAATTCGTCGTTTCATAGGTCTCGTCATTTCAACCTTCTTTGTCTACACTTTTGTCTACTTTAGTGTCAACACTTTTCGTAATATTTCTCTGAACGAACCTGGTCATATACTAGTTGATATAAAATCAAAAGAAATTAACACAGAATGTAGTTCAGAACACAAAACTGAAATAACGACTTCGCAACACATTGAAAAGCACCTGGAGATGTAGCTTATAAGCCCGGACATTTGGGCTCATTGAGGCATTAAATGATTTTGATAGATTGAATTGAACTGATAACATAGCACACTGGCTGTTTTCAAATTTGTGTTCCTATTTTACTTGACTTAGATCGATTTCTTTCAATGTCTCAAAATCATATCACACTTTAAACATTACCAGGCTGGCCGGGCTCACGCGAAAAGCAAGAATTCGCAGAATTTATTCGGCGTTTCAAAAATGCAAGTCAAAAGTATCAAACAACTGCGCATATGCACATGGCAATAATGGCAAATTTGCTGTCATAATTTGAAAGGGAATGCCAGTGTTTGGTGGTTGATGTTTATCCATAAAAACTGACAATTAAAAAAAATTAAAAAACAAGCGAGCATCTTCAAAAGTTTTCTTATTTCTTTCCAAACCAGATAAAAATGGCAAAAAAATACTTATGAAAACATGTATTTTTAATAGAATATTTATATACTACTACAACTGTTTCGTTAAAATACCTCGTCAAGATAAAGATACCGTACTCTGCTTATTCTTCACAGATACGAACTATCAACTCCATTGGCTAATGCTATTAAAAAACCTCACATATAAATAATTTTATACACAGTGAACAATGTTATCGTGAAAATTACTGTTCGTTAGATCAATAAGCTATTTTCGCTCGAGTCTTCTCGGCTCTTCTTCGTGAAATTGGCTTGGAAACGTCTCTGACTATTCTCCATGCCTGCAGCACTTCCCCCGGTATCCTACGCTTCTATTGTTTGTGTTCGACTTTCAGCACGAGGAATTACTTGAAACACTCCGGTATCTGTTGTAGGTGTCGCAGGCCGGCCTATATGAAGTACTTGATGAGCGGCCAGAGGTGCAAGAGAGACCTTTCCACAACAAGGTGTTTGCAGCACCGCGAGTGTTTGAGGCGAGAACGAGTTACCGTGCGTGATTGGCTGAAGTAACGTATATGAACGACAACCGCACAACTCTGAACCACCAGCAAGCGTTGTGATTGGCTGAAGATAAACTGGAGTTGTCGTCACGGTATCACCGTGTGAGCTAAGGATGGGCTTACTTTCATACAACGCAACGGTGCCGGAAGAGGTACTTCGAGATGTCTCGGACGTATTCGGAGGAAACGAGAACATCTCTTGGGTGAGACTATTTACGGGCGGACTTTTTGCAACTTCAGAAACGCTTTTAATGACAGACATTTTCGTCGCCATCGTAGGTGGAGCCGTTTCCACGTCGTCACTCTTGTTGCTGACGTCGACACATGTATTTGCAAGCTGACGTAACCGCGTCGCATCCAGTTTTTTGGATGGCGTATAGTCACGGGAAGGTTGACAAACTTGTAAACAAGACGTTGTCCGTTCACCTACAGAAATTGCCACATAAAACAAAACATATTCACTTGTAAAGTTTGCTAAAGATGTACAACCTACGAATGACGACGTCACTTGGGAGACAAGTGTTTCATTGTTTATCAACTCGGGATTAATTTCTATTGAAGAAATGAACCAGCTATGAGGAAAAGCGTAGGAAGATCGACAATTGAGGGGGCTTGTATTAATATATACATGATATTCCGAACTGAATAAAGTCCTTCGAAATCCATTTTCCCCTCTGATTATAAATTGAATATGAATACTAGCCCCAATTATTGATCTTCCTACGCACAGGATGAAGACAAGTTTCTCCTCCCATTTAATCCAGGTTCAAGCTTGCATTCAATTGCACATTCAGACGCAAACGTAATGATACCTTTTTAATGATGTTTTTCTGATAATAATATCGCAAAGCTCGACTTAGTTTGTCGTAATTCATTCGCGGTTTCTGTTTCAGATTACCCCATCGTCTTGCCACCTCTTCCTGGTTCATCAATTTGAACTCGAAGTCTTCGGCTTTCGTCCAACAAATCAGTGATTCGCACTCCTTGTCGTGCAGTAATTCCAAGAGAAATTCCCATAAGTGAACCGCATTCTTTGAAGTCCAAGGTTTTATCGCTTTTTTCACATCTTGTACTTCGTTTTTTTCTGAAAATAGGAAAAAAGTCAACGTAAATAGACAGTTCTATTGAACACGGCTAGAAAATTTTAAATTCGGCGTTCTTTAAATGACCAGAGCCATTGTGTGTTAAACCTTTATTTTTAGCGATGGAACCGGTTGTTCAGGATCAATTTCCTTATTCCCTCCTACGAGTTCAATAAGATCCTTACGCTCATTTGCCTTTGCATTTCCCAGCTTGTTTTTGTAAGTCATGGTATTAACAATAAGGAATAAATTTAATATTCAAACAGGTTTCCCTGTTTCATGAGTTTTAATTATCGTGCATTTGAACAGTAGATCGCACGGTTTTCAACAGCATAAATGGTCTAAATCAAGAACATTCAACTAGTCCGGAATGGCAAGAACCAAAACCTAATTATGTCTAGGTACAACGGACCTCTCGAAAGCCCGGGCCTGTAGGCTTCAGCACTGAGTAATCCGCCACAGCTTGTCTTATAATCGTTTTGATCATAATCAACTAAAAAGGCCTGAGGTCACCGACATATAGATATGACGTAAGAAGCTTAACATCCTACGTGGGCAACTACGAACATGCTATAATTATTCTAATTTTAAATTTGTAAAGGTGTTTCTAAACACAATTCAACCCCACAAAGAATTCAAAACGCATAGATGAATTTGCGCACGCTTCGACACATCCATCATTCTAAATCGAAACTTTTATCGGATATTTTATCGCGTCGTAGCACTATCGGCCTCTATTTCACTTTAATTAAACATTGTAAGGATTCATTGTAGTCCAGGTCATTGGCCAATATCACTCCTTGTACACAAATTACAATGACAAAGCAAAGAACAGAGCACAATCTAGTCCACTCACATTTAAATAAGTGGCAAGGTAATTTTTTAACTATTTTTTTCTTCTTCATCAATGTTCGGCTGTATGAGCGCTATTTTGTTATCACAAGACGTTCACAATTGTCGCGAGGGACACACTATTCGCTATTTCACAAGCTGCAAACCGTTTTGGATTGTTTAGTAGAAGAATTAAACGACTACCATTAACGTGATTCCTGATTCTATGTATGTTTATTTTATGCCACCGTCTGCATAACACTGTGTAACGTTAAAGCATACAATACATTTTAAATGAAATCATTACTAATAGCAAACCAAATGACAGATCTGTAACGGCCTTCGCTAGGGGGGGAATAAAGACTGAGAAAAGCATACATTCCAACAAAACAAAATTGCTTAAACGCCAAGTTTTACTTTGAAATTCAGTGGTGTTACACGCAAGACATAACAACGAATAAACGAACTAATGTGCTACTTTGACTAGCAAATTGAACCATTTACCTTCTTCTTGCATCGTGATCTCTTTAGCCACGTCCATGTTATTGCGCTGTTCTGTTCAAATGAGAAAATGAGTTGAAGATACGAAACAGGAAGACAATAAATCCAATCATTATATGCGGAAGTTATAATGCTCGTCTTCCGCGACGCCTTGAAAGCTGAGACGTAGCTCGTATGAAAACCGGGATGAAAACGGACTCAAGACAAAGAATGGATTAGCATTAGCGATATTGAATAATGGCACCAAAAGCTTTATTTCAAAACATCGAACGTCTACTTTGCTTGGCATACAAAATTTGCATATTCGTGGATCTTATTTCCTCGATCATTCATCATTTACATAACTTTTATTTGCAATTAATACAACTACAGATTCTAGGCAGCAGCACGTCATCTAAATTTTTCCTATTTACTTTGGGCCATCATAATGAATGCAGCTTCAACTGTCCAGTGTGAGAAAACTATTGAGTTGAAAACGCTCGTACACCGTGCTCGTTATACTTCAGACCTGTCAAGAGCTTCTCAGGTTTTGTAAAAGGTCTAACGAGAAACACTCAAGCTTGGCAAGAATGAAAGTTGCTTTTTCGGCCCTTTCTAATTACGACAAACAGAAAATAACTCATTCCTATTACTTTCATGACGGAAGCTTACACAGCAGGAATATAAGATGATATGACAGGGTTAATATTGTCTCGATGAAATCAAACAAAAGCACGATAACGATCTTAGTGATTCATTATATTTCCTGCAGTGGAAGTCTTCGGGACAAGAATACGGAAATTAGACCGTTGTTGATGTATCAGTAATAAAATACATCAGCTAAAAAATTCCTTTTCTATGAGTTCATTAGTCAGTTTCAACAATGTGGCTATGTTCAAAAAGACAACACGAATAGCACGAACAATTAATTACACGAGTGCACATGAAAATTAAAGTATAAGAAACGTAAACTGAAATCGAAGTTTACAGAAACAATAATGTCTTGTTGTTTTAATGTGATCTTTTTATCATTTCATAATATCATTTTGTTATGTTAGAAAATGCAAGTAAACATGCACTTAAAATGAAGACAAAATACGTTATGTAGTACATGTTTTGAATCTTGATGGAGGGCACCGCCATACAGATTAAAATGAATGTAGCATACAAATTTCCTTGTTCACAATATAGTTACAAGGAAAACATTATATCTTATAATATCTTGATACCTCTTCACAATTGACAAAGCACTGAGACGATCGAGGCACGTTCAAGCCACGATCGAGTTGTCTCGTTATAACAAGTTACAAAATAGAGATAAAAGTAATTCTTAAGGCAAACATGTCTCGTACAGAATTGTAATGTTAATCGATTATAAAATCGTACGATGGTAAATGCAAAAAATAAATTACTTTATCGTTTAATAGTTTATGCAATGATATCTTTTAAAATTCTCGAAAAATTTATTTCAGGTGACGAATAGAAACGAAACCCAAGGAGACGCCATTACTAATATCATGTATAATTACATGCTGATAAACCTGTGTATATGACCGATTGCTATCTGCGACAGGTTGACGATTCGATTAAAGTTCACGCTTTACACAAGTACGTATACGTCAAAGAAATTACCTTCTTTAAAAAAGTTGTCATTTATGAAAATTGAAAAAAATGGGTCAGTTAAGTCTGGTTCCATTTAATCGAATGAAATCTTTGCAGGGCTTTCATACACAAATGATGCATTAGATGTTCATAAAAGTAATCTGAGAAACAAATAAAATGGTAAATTTTTACCTTTTACAAATTCAACTGTTCCAATCAGAAAAATTCAACAAACACATTCCGGGTCTAATTTATAGAATTACAGCCATTGTTTATCGAAACTGTGTCCCAACCAATGCACTATCGCTTTTCGGCCAAATGGTATTTAAGACACACTAAAATAACTCATTCAGTTAAACTGAACTCTTTTAAAATTAAACAGCATCCGGGCTCGTAGTAGAAAAGTTCCGCTGGTCAAACGGTAAACATTATCGCTGTTCACAGCACATTTTGTATTTATTTATAGGAACATTTCGTTAGTCTTCCTGAGTTAGACAAAACACTTTTGTAGGTGTATGATGTAGCTAAATATAACTTTTATAAGTTTACGTTCGATTACCTATAATGCGTATAGTCCAGAATAATCTCTACTCCAATATGGATTAGTCTAAATTTAAATGCACTGCCGATTTATTACGTAAAATAGTGCTTCACACCATGTAGAAGATTATATATAAATATAATACATACACACATTTCAAGTAATCATGTAATTTTTGGCATTGAGAACGAAAGAATTTTCGTCATACATACTCACTTAAACAATTTCAACTCTCATAAACGCTGTTGTTATGAGACTGATATAACTGAGATAACAAGAAAGTGTTAATGTTATAAAAAAGCTAAATGGTAGCAACTTTATTTAATCAAGAAAAAATTTAAATGGAACGAATTTTGTAATTATATTATCGTGAGAAACGTGTGCCTACCAAGCGTTCGTTAACGGCAAAATCGACTCGGTCTTCGATCCACGTGGCAGGAACAGAAGTGTCAAATTTTCCGCTGACATGCAGCAAGATGTTTTCATATTCAAATGTTGCGGATTGCAAATAATAAGAAAACAAAACAAGATAATGCCCCGCAGTTTACAGAAGAAAAATCATTATGTGCGATGTCAATTATAACCTAAGCCAGCCCTATGAATTGAATGAAATTACTCACCCAAATACATCTGAGTCTCCAAGTATGACGTGTTTGTAGCTAAACCAAGCTGTCGTATGGTTTCTGCATGCGATTCAAAATGGCTGACTTAGTAGTTTACAACTTCACTTAATGAGACCACGCATTCTTGACAGCCTGTTGCGAAAAAAGCGGAAAATATTTTCTCCACACGCAATTGTGACGTAATCGTGACGCACACGCGCATGTTAGTCACGGATACAGGAAGTCGATCATAAATAATATTATTCACATCTAGCCAAAGCCACATAAGTCGTCATTCAAACACCTGTACACACATTTATATTTATAAAACATTCCGCCTAACAAGGTCATACACCATGTTACACACACTGATAAAAATAATTTCACTCGTACATGTGACTTCACGCATGCGCACGATTACATGACTAAGTATTATAAGACGTGGCACTGTGCTGGGTTAGAAAATAGAAAACGCGAGACTGCTTTAGAGAAGCACTTTGCCACTATCAATTTCGAGTGCAAAATTTTGCATTTATATTTTTATTCGAGAGGTTCTTCATATATATATAAAAATCAAGGAAGAGCCGAACGATGTACAAACAACAATTGTGTTTATTTAAGGAAGAAAATCATGAAGTCGGACCCAAGGTCATCTCTTCAAGTTCATTTCCGAATGTAAATTTTCCATCTCTTTCTTTAATGACAGGAAATTTGCCAGATGAGAAAACTTCCTAAACCAAATTCCACGACTAAATAATGTCGTACTAACAGCGTTACAATCCTTTTGGCCGCTTATAAGTTGTTGATTCAAAAGTTACCGAACGGATATGAAAAGAGCCTTGTCTCGTCGATATGAAATACAGTCAAGTACAAATCGATTCATTCAACTTTTCCCCCCTTTTCTTATTTTATATCTTTTTAAGGCGGTATAGTACAGCGGCATAGTTGATCCAACAGGCATGGTGAAGAATATTCTATGTATCTTCCATCTCTTAGCGTTTTGTGAATGATACTTCGACGTGAGAAAATTCTCCTTTGAAATATCTTGTAGATGGCACAGGGATGTGAGATCTATCTCGGTAAATTAAACTTTCGCGCCATACTGGCTTTCCATGTTCATCTTCAACCAAAATGACAACTGACCCGGCGAGTTCAACGTAAAAAAACGCACAATAAAACATAGATAGCGAGCTAGCAATTGAAACCATAATTGAATTGTTTTATTTGACGAGCAGTCAAACTCCTCAAAAAAGATCTTTCAGTTCACGTTTCGTTCACGACGTATGAATATAACTTTTTCAACATCCACACAAAATCCCAGTTGCTTCATCTCCTCTGAAAATATATGTTCTTTGAATAAAAAGGACTGAACTTTTCCTTATTCGCTTAAGGTCGTAGCTTTAACTGAACGCCAGTGAAGCGTTAAAGGCTTGGCAGGTAGTCGAGCCTCATTTGTATCTCACGAGAAGCGCATTACAAGTGAAGCTGGACGCAAATATTTGCAGATCCAACATAAGTCACGGAACACACTACGGTTTTGTTCTAATTTAAACAAAACTCTGAAAGAACTTACTGTTGAAACAAATTGTTCTTCTCCAAATTATTGCTTAAAATATCTTTTTATTCAAGCTGATTGCAAAATGGCGAATAAACGCATTTTGAACTTTAAATACATTTCATAAGACAAAATAAAGTTATAAAGAAGTAAGCGCCGCAGAACATACGATTAGACATAAAACTTCTTATATTATCTTACATTATTCAATAAATAAAACAATTGTTATGTTCACTACGTCGATTTATGCCTTTGGCAATTCGTCATTGAGCTGAATCCTCGAATAAAGAAAAGCAACGATTGGATCATTGCTTACTTCAAGGAAATTTATACAATGAAATTGAAAGTTTATAGTTTAGTTTCACTTATACAAAATGCAATCTTGTTTCGTGCAGTGTTGAAATCCTCTCCTGAAATCAACGATACTTGAAAATGAAGAATGCCATAATTGGCACTTGTCAAAATCTAAAATCATGGCCTGCATGTAGCAATATAAAGTCTACATTGTGTCTGAAAATGCTATCACATCGGTCAACGCCGAAAAACTAGTGCTACATCGCACTTCTCGCAAATTTTCAATGTCAACTAAAATTATCGACCGAAATGGCTTCGTCTACAAACGTATAATATAAATAAATTTTCTTGATTGTTATCAATTCCATGTTTCACGAAGAATACTAGTTCGTGAAATCTACAAATTAAGCATCAACCAACGATGGTTGGGCAAGCAAATGGAATTCTGTTGTCAGGTGAGCGAAGAATCTCCCTCAAATCATTGGTCAACTAAGCACGATCCCACGACGACGTGTAGCAAATCACAGATCGCCTTTCCACGATGGGCGGCTCTGACCGCTTCGGTAAAACTGGGTGGTTGTAGGGAAGGTGCAAAAACTTGTACACGAAATGTCTTCCTTTCACCTAACGCAAAACAAAACGTTTAATATACATCATTTTCAAACATAATTACGTAGCTCATCAAAAAATACAATCCTAACACACAAAGTGAAGCATCTTGGTCATTCAAAAACTATCAAATAACGACAGGCAACCATTGATAAACGACACGAACCTTATGAATGATATCTTTTTTGTAATAATATCGCATAGCACGACACATTTTAATCTTATCCATGTTCGGTCGGCGTTTCACAATTCCCCATTGCCTCGCGACCTCGTTGATGTTCAAAAACTCAAACTCGCCTTTGGCCTTGTCCGTCCAGCAAACGATGGACGAGCAGTTAGGATCTTCCAGGATCTCAAGGAGAAATTCCCAGAGATAGATCTCGCAGCAAGAAGACGACGAGACTGACTGGCTGCGATCAAAAGGCGTGTTTTAATGAAATATTCGTATGTGTAGGAAATGAAATTAAGTGTTTTCCGCACGTTGGACTCAGTGACTCATATAAGGTAGAGCGCGCTTAAAGTTTAGCAAAAACTACAAATGAAACGCTTTTCATGTAACGACACAACGCATGTAAAGAAGTAAAAAACCATTGTTTTACCTTGTTTAAATAAAATTCTCTGTCGTAGGGCATGGCCAGTGACCATCTTGGACTTCTATAAACGAAAATTTGAAACAGGCAATCAAAAAAGGTTCACGAAGGAAAATCAAAAATTTATAAGCAAAAAATGCAACTCGTTTCGGCTAAAATACAATGAGACTACTAATACATCGCATGCGAAAAAAGAAATTGCTTAACAGAAAAGAAGTTGACTCACAACTTTCCTTCTGTAGCTAAGTCAGTTCATTCATTCATTTATACTCAATAGAAAAGTTATCAAAGATATTTATACTTGGAAACAAATAAATCAAACGTAATTAAAATATTTGAAAAATACAAATGCTTTTTTCGAACAATCTTCCCCTACGCATACTTCTCTCAAAAACGTCGAACTACGTAATTCTCAGTTTCGTTTTGCGTAATAACTCATTCCTTTAGACCAATTAAAAAAAATACTTGGAATTACCGTTACTAAAATATGGGCAATTTGCCCGTTTGCACATAGCTTCAACATATCTGAAATGAATGGTGAGCCGAGTCACAGTTAACTGTCTAACTGATGGTATAATAGCTTGCTTATAGCACGAAACTCTTTCTGATCAGTAAGGGTCTTATGAAAACAATAAAGATTTGCTATATAAGGTAACGGGTGCACTTGACAAACTTCCCTTCGATTTCCTTTTCAGATCAAGTTCGACAGAAACTAGTCAAAACACTTATGTAATTTACCCTGAATTCAACCGATGACGTTCTAATTCTCGGACGATCAATGTGCGCAGTGATCCCCCGAAGACAATAACTAAAATTTGCACGATGAGAGTTACACGTTTGAATTCAAACCTTTCACCAGTGTCATAGTCGAGGCATTTGATGACGTGTATCAAAATGAGCTCAACCGCAAAAAGTATTTCACAAATCTTTAGAAATAATTTTCTTATCGTAATTGGTAAAGGACAAAAGTTCGAAAAATAGCGCGATCCTCATGACTTGCACGATTTGAGTACAAAAATCAAGAAACAATTTTCTTCAAACTTGTGAACAAATGATGAAGACCCAGCTCGGAGGAAATTATTTCCTCATGCAAATAACGAGAAAATAGGTATCATACATCAATGTCAAATACAGCGATGTATTTTAGAAAATACAGTATTCGCCCATGATCGGAGATTTCGATTATTGACGATTCTGCTTGAAGCAAAATACACAATGTTTTGAAACACTTTGAAACATAACACCAGGCATGCTTAATCATGTGATGATGGCGGAGCAACAGTATCGCAAGAATCTATTCTACGACAAATTCTAGTGCATTTTTATGATAGCAAATAACGAGTGCAACAAATGAATGCCTTGAATCAGCAGCGTTCGGAGTCGATCTAACGATGACATCATACCGAGATGACAAGCACATACGATCACCCGATGCTTGTAATTTTAAGCTTCAAATACGCGCGCTAGTAGAATAATTGACTCCGCACACATCACAAGCCACTGTCGTAAACTTATGGACGAATAAAAGAGATGATACAAACTACTTACCTCGTACATTCTAACTTAGTGCGCCGCGTTAAACGTCCGAAATATGTTGATGCGAGAAGAAGTTTTTAGTTGTGAAAACGGGAAGTCTCACTACATCACTTCCCGTATTTACGACAATGGGCAATTTAAATGCAAAACATGGCTTGCGGGGTCAGACGTCCTTTAATTTATTTCCTTTAGAGTCGAATTACTGATCTAAAACAGCGGCATGATGCAGGATGAAATGAAATTTCTTATCATGGTGACTAGACAACGAAGAATTCGACCGACAGCAATAATGAAATTTATCGTAAAAGGCCTGCTGTAAACACGGCAGAAGAAATGAACCGCGACGATCCTGTGGATAAATGTCTTTCATGAATTCAACGTAACCTAGGAAATAAGCATCAAATTAATTTCTCATTTGGTGCAGTTATGACCAGAAAAAAAAATCAGGAAATAAGCAATGCAATGACAATGAAGGATCGCAACGTTCTTATGTGCTGGAAACAAAAGGTAGTCAAAAAACGTTTTTTAAAACATAATCAAAACAAGTTATAGTTTTGTGTGACGTCGATGTGTGACACCGAGCAAAACGTTGGTCATTATGGCAATTCGCACATGCCTTCAAAAACGCACGCGAAATGAAACTGAAAACTAAACTCCCTCACGCAATGCATTTTCTTCAACTGTGTACTATGCGCGCGCACGAATAATTGTTCTAGACCCATTCCAAACGCAGGTCTTCAATAACAGGCGTGTGATTTAAAAAAAAAAGCGACCTGCGTATTTTGCTTTTAGCTGAACTGACTTAAGCTAAAATATGAATAAGTTATCAATTGTTTCGCTGAGCTCAAAGATTAACTTGAACCATTTATATAACGTGTGATGTCCGAGAGATACATGATTGCCCACAAAAGGCATTTTCTTTTACATCTACCTCAATTTTTTTGTCATGAATTGTATGCATCAAGGTAGAGGAAATGCTATATATTTGGAGTTGTCTTTGTTCCCACTTCTCTAACTCATGAAATTTGAAAGCCAGTTGATTATTATTATTAATATTATTATTATTATTATTATTATTATTATTATTATTATTATTTATTATTTATTCATTATAAAAAACTATGCACGATAGTTTCGAGTTTTCGCACGAATAAAGAAGTATAAAATAAAAAAATAAAACGCGTGCAGTGATTGGTCTACAGCCGTGTTTGCATTAGCCTATGCAAAACACATCTGAGCTCAACCAATCAAATCAATCAAAACAATCAATCAATCAAAGAGAATTTGCAAATCGATCATGAATGCATTTTAGGGTAAAAATTAAAATGTTTGTCTTTTTCGCATTATTGTTATTTTACAAAGAAATAAAAGATGTTTTTCTTGTTTGCACTGATTTGCACTCGAGTTCTTCCAAAGGTCTCCTCGGTATGCATAAGCTTGTGCAAAAACAGTAAACATCTTTTATTTTTTAATTAACTTATTCTTAATATAAATATTAAAGCCCAGCAAAGTGCTTTTAAAAGAGCCATTTGCTGGGCTTTAAAAGCACTTTGCTGGGCTTTAATATTTATATTAAGAATTTGCTTCCCGCTCGGTATATCACTGGTCACAATTCTTAATTAACTTATGCATTAATCGTATAACATTGATGTTATTTATATCAGCAAAAACACCCAAATCACATGGTCCAGAAATATCTTTTTTATTGATTAGTGAGGTAAAAGCTGTATCTTGTTCATATCTTCACTCTAAGTGACGTCATCATGGCAGCAATCATTGCACGTTCGCATGAACAGCCCGTCGCATCAAAACTAAAATGGCTTTGATTTCCTTGTATGGCTGACAGACGACCTAAACATGGCGAGAAATGGCAACAAAGCTCAATTGCAAAGACTGTTGAAAGACTGGCACGATGTCGTGACTGGCTCGCATTACTTACGATAGATTTTTGGCATTATTTCATGACATAGGGCCAATGGCATCATTTAATGACATTGACTATGAGAAAACGGTTTTGATTACGCTGTTTATTTTAAGGTTGTCAAGATGTCATCTCACGACCTCATTCGCAAATGACGTTTATGAAGCGGTTCAAGTTCGAGCCGGGTGTTTAAAGGGCATAAGACTTAAATATTTTACAATTTAAATTATATTTTCATTTAACAGAACTTTGAAAATGACAGTGTATTTTATGAAACAGTTTGTGCATATCTCTTCGTTCAAAGATACTGAAGTTTTTGTAATGTCCGATTTACACAACTTTTACGTCAATTTGTATAATGAGTGACTGCAAAATATCAAACATCCTCTGAATTCAGGGCCACTTTTGGTTGAATAGATCAGGCAATTGTTTATACCATTAAATCTTCACAGTGAAGGAAGCTCTGATAGGCTGAAGTAACGTATCATAAATTATATCTGCTATTTCAAATTCTCATTATGGAAAATGACGTAGACAGATGTGTAAATCAGAGACTACAAAACTTCAATATCTTGGAACGAAGAGAGCAAAACTATTTTAGAAAATACACTGTCATTTTCAAGGTTCTTTGCATGAAAATATAATATAAATAGTAAAATTTTCAAGTCATATGACCTACAAAGGGCAAGCTAATGAAGCTATGCCAAGGTCATTTTCAAATAACCCTTCAATTTCTTGCAAGATAATGATATCTACAGGAAAAATCAATAGGACGCAGATAAAATCATTTTGGCAAAATCAATGTGCGGTATTTTTACCAGAACAATCCGTTCCTCACCATGCAATGGAAAAGCTATACAATTTTGGTACTCCACCAACCAATGGAATGCACTGTTTATTTTAATCTTAAACGTTGGTTTCGCCTCTTATTCGAGATTTTTCGTGTTGAAAACAATTCACACAGAAATCGCTTATATGCATTGGCTGTGATACGTCAAGGGGATGCAGTCAATCTTTTGGAATATCATATGTGTAATTACCAGCAAAGCAAATATGCATAAATTTATATATATTTCTTTGGATCGTAAGAACACCAAGTCGAGAAGTGCGGACAAAAGTTTTCATTGCACTAGTCGGAGCTGGAATTTGCAAATGAGGCGATTAATTACTAATATGATAAAAAATGGGAAGAGGAACAGTTTGTTTCACGTCACAGAACACAAATTTAATATGATTTACCAGCGGATTTACTACAATTGATTTAACAGTTCAAGGTCAATTTGAGCCGTGCCTTAATCTGATAATGCCCAATGACGACATTAATTCAGAAATAGACTGTGTTGTCGTCTTATGCTTCCTTTCAACATGTTTCGCGCCTGTTAAATGCGACACCACATTACGCCAGTCAGTCCCATACAAGGAAAACAGCATTTGAAACTGATTCAAAGGTATGTTATTTACACAAAGTTCGTCATTGTAAAGTGTGTTTTTTTTGGTTGGACAAATTGACCAATAGGAATAACTCAGCTGATAACAAAATCCCAGCTCATCCGAAATGTGAATTTGATTTTTTAAGTTTTTCATGTTTTTAAGCCTTATGCAAAGGTCCTAGTTAGAATCTTGCAATAACGAGGCATTTTGTAAGTGAAATAGAATCTATGGCGAACCATGTTGTCTCATCAGCGCTGTGAAAGTTGTAATTGATTGAAAAATACTAGACGTGACTAATTCGTTCACTGCATGTTCATTAATAAACTTTGTATAGCCCAGTTACTTATGTATATGACAATTGACTTTTAATCGCCGCTATAAAAAATTTAGATGGTTTAGTATGGGTATAATCTTATTAGCCTGCGTACAGACATATTTTCTTTGCAACAGCCCAAAATAATTGGTTGGGCACAAAGTACGGAATGTCATTATGGTAGCAAAAACAGCATATTATCCTTTAGTTACTAATCATAATAACCATAAATTCGTCTGCATGTACAATTTATCAAAACACATCCAATGTTGATAAAAATTTCGCTCATATCACACTAAATACGGATGTTAGAGGCTGAGAGCCAACAAATCCATTATAGACAAACGGCGTCGCCAGAGAGGGAGCTGAAGAGACCCCCCATCCCCACCCACGCTATTTCAAAGACCAATTTTGACATCTTTCAAAATGTGAAGAGAAAGGAGAGTGGTCAGGAAAACAGCTATAAAAAGTTGCTTCTTAGCATTTAACGGGCACATAGCCAAGTCAACATTATAAACAATAACCTTTGAATACACTCCTTGACACATCTAACGGAAAGCTGCCCTTCTACAAACGTGCGGCTTTCAGATTACATTTAAGACCTTGGGAAAAAGCGTTTCTTTGAGTACCTAAAATAAACAAATTGTCAATGAGGTCTAACCACAGATATGTATAATAAACTGGATTGCGCACTGCAATACAACGCCCAATCAAAAGTTGAAGCCAAAATAATCGGGTGCCCACATTGTTGTCATTGGTGAAACCCAACTTTAATATACGACAGGGCTTTGATGACGACGTATTTCTGTTATTTTGGAACTTAAAGCTATGTATAAACATAGCAGATTTTGTGGAAATATGATTATGATTAATATTATGATTACTTTTTCGTATCAAGTGGGACCTCTTCCAATATGGCGGCTCTGGCTTCACAGAAATAGCGGAGAGCGTCTATTTTCAGATCAGTGGGTCCAACACCTTTGCGCCTTGCATAATCCTCCCGGTCTAAACAATCCGACGACGGCACTGTTAGTTTTTGAAATATTCCTAAGAACCACAAACACATAGCATATTTTATCATTGTGTCAGGCTTCAGAACAGATCGATTGACATGATCTTTTCATGGTGAATTGTTCGTCTGTGGTTTAATCATTCATGGCGACAAGTTGACAACGGTTTCATGGGGTTTTAACAAACAATACTTCTGGACGTGTCTGGCGATGAATGTTTGCAAGCAAATGAAAGAACGTTTGTAGGTTTTACATGCAAGCTACAGGCGGCATGTTTTGACTCATGAATCAACTTCTTACAGCAATGACTTGTTAAACAAATATTATATTACTTAAACGCCCACATGATGTCTGGATTGAACGTCGGAACGATCATTCACGGTCAACCATTAAAAAATCGTACGACGGAAGTCGATCCTTATCAAAAGCATATATTACTGTGTACATTCGTGCTATGCACTTTACTATGCTGAATAACTCGATTAACGATTGGTCGACAACAGACAAACTATACTTGACCTGCAAGAGCAGATGATTGTTAATTGCACTTTAATATAAAATGTAAATTAATTTATCGAAGGCGACACCTTCAATGACACAATTTTCATGCATATAAAACGTCTGTTGCAATCGGCGACATGGCATAAACTAAAGCAAAAAACATAGAACACATCGCAATGTGCCCAAGAGTTGCATCGGGGAAAGCATGAAAAAATACATTAAAAAATACAAGTTTCGTGTAGGGAACATAAAATCCAGTTTAAGTAAGTTTTCAAGAGCTTTCAAAAGTCAAATGTTATTTTCTTGTGTGGGGGTGGGATGGGTGTGGATCTATGTGATCAGTATTTGGATTTACAGTTTGTCAGATAACCCTTTAGTTTCCTACTGAACAATTGTAAGATGAAATCAGTGGCTTCGCCAGGGAGGGAACTGAGGGGGGACTGCCCTCCAATTATTTCAATGATCAATTTTGAGATTGAAGGAAGAAATGAAATAAGTTCAACTTCGAACGGCAATAAAAAATTCGCTTTCTGTAAACAGGCACATAGCAAAGTAAACAGCAATCTTCAAGCATTGTTGTCAGAAAGATTGACTTGACTTGAATGCACTTGTTGATACATCTAAAAAAATGCTACTATTCTGAAATAGATTATCATAAATCCTGCCTGTGAGAAATAGCGTTTTAGAGAACATAAAGTCATACAATTCTCTAAGGGTGAATGCCTCTGAATCTCCACTCTAGTCTTGCACATTAGACGGTTACTTTGCCTCCCCAGTCTGAACAACCTGGCGACACCACGGGTTGAAATTACCTTAGGGCGGGACTGGGAGCAAACAATAAATTTGGATTGGTAAATTCCTCCTTTGCCCCCCCTCAGTCACTGTAGTTATTTGAACACATACCAAGTTTATTTAATAAACCTCGGTCGTCTACAAACTTAGTCTAGTGGGAGTGACACCCGCCATTTGCAAATATGCTAACTTTCCTAACCTCAAACACAACAAAACCAAGTAGAGACATCATGTTAACAAAGTTAAGTACGAAAGCAGGCGTACTAATGATAAAACAGCTTTTGAAATTGAATTTCGATTTAATATTTATTGTAAGCTAATTGTTTTCATTCGAAAAGTTTTCTGATTTGAAAAAATCCAATCATCAGTCACACATTTTGCTCATTGACATTGCCCATACGGCTATAACTGACGCTACATAAATGATAAATTCTTATTCGGTTCCAAAGTGAACCTGAGGGAGATAACCGAGTCTGAATAATTCATATATTTGCTTAGCCCGTTCAATATTAATATATTCGACAAGATAATGGCTTTGGTGCTTTGGTTGTAGAGCCACACTCACACTTAATATAAATATTTAGGCCCGGTTCAAACGTCGCATTTTACATGCGCCGAATCAAATGCGAGAATTATGTGCATGTAAAATGCGACGTTTGAATCAATTAAATTCGACGGATTTTAATTTAATGCGACTTTAGTCGCATATTCGACTGAGTCAGTCGAATATTCGACGAAAATTCGATGTTGATTCAAACGTCGCATTTTACATGCTAAGCAAAAATCAATTATTTCCATACTAAATGCCATGCGCAAAGTTGCAAAAACATGGCGGCGGCGAGTGATGGTAATGGCCCTTGTATTTCGTGCACAAGTTTAACAAAATACACTTGTTTAAAGTGCAAAAAATTTATATTTACAAGGAAAGTTTCCTGGAGATACACGAAATGTTTTTTTGAATCAGAATAAATACTCCAAACTTTCTTCCACCAGCCGGAATTTCTATCTTGTCTTCGACATGATCGATAAGGAGGGCTACGTATGAAGGCTTTTTTTTGACCAATTAACGGTAGAAAAACATGGGAAATTTGCAGAAGCTGCCGTCTCGTTTCTAATAGTTTATTTGCTGTAACATGCATCAATATTCGTCTTTTCCTATTAACACGAATCATATTTGAAATGCATAAACTCAACATTTTTCTGTTCGCCATTTTAGGAAATTAGTACAAGAAAATGAATAAACTATGAAAAAGAGGAAGCATAACTATAATAAATGCGACTATTAAATTCGACGTCTGAATCAAACTACGCATAAAACTATTTTAGTCGACTAAAACTCAGATTTGATTCGGCGCATGTAAAATGCGACGTTTGAACCGGGCCTTATTTAAATATTACATGCGTACGTACCTATAGTAATAATATAGTCATTAACTCGTTTAAGACGGTCCAAAAGATAGTTCTGCATTGACATTCACAGAATTAGCAAACCCTTTGACTACGTTTTACATAACTCGACTTTGTAATACGTTATGTAGAATTCAATAGATGTGATGTATTGCTAGATACGAACAGTGATTATTGCCTACAAGAAAGTACCTATCTAAAATTTGCTGAGTTGCTTTTATTGACGCCATGTGCATAAATTAAAGATGAACATTTGAATTTCATAAATCGTGAATTTGAATGGAGCTAGGAATTTATTTATACACATTCAGTCAATAATCCAATTTCAGTTCAACTGAATTAGTGAAATTCCATTCCTGAAGATTTCAAGCTCATCACTCATTCCGATTAAATTTTGTGTATCGTTCCATGCTTTTTCATGTTCTAGAATCATTTATGAGTTATGACGCATGTCTGAAAAATATCATTGTCGACAACACTTTTCCTGTTTTCTCCATTCAATCGGAACGGACGAACCACAATATAATTGAATTGACATTTGCATCTTAAAAAATTGCTTCACTGAGCAGAAGTCCTATTGTCCTCCTGCATACGCGCGCGCGCGAACTTTACAAATGTATTTGCGTTTATAACACTGCGGATCATTAGCAACAACTGGTCATCTGAGTAAGAACAAGTCACGATCACCACACACAATAAGGTTAGTAAATGTGAAAGATTTGCAATAAAATAATCATGTAGTTGATACCTTTATGCATGTTAAATGAGAGTATTTGATTCAGTCATGGAAATTTCACTGCTACAATAAGGCTACACGAAACTAGATTTTTTGGAGTTGTTTTGTGCTCGTTGTTTCATACAGCAATAAACAAGAGATGGTGTGTGTAAGCTGACCCAATCGGTATTTTCAAGGAGGTCGAACAAAAATATTACATTACTTCCAACGTCTTTATACGTATAAACACCGATTATATTGAAAGCGTATGAGGGTATATTTGCAGAACACCAGGGAACCTGCAAAAATCTTTGGCGGTGTTGCTGAATTTGCCTTTGTTAGTTCCGCAATGTTAGGGAAGTAGGGTTGGGCTGGGGTCAGGGTTTGGCTTTAATGAAAGTTAAATGAGAACTGATTTTCCTTTTGTCTACATACTATGAAGTTGGGTGACTCTGTACCTCATGTAACAGGGCATTCTGCAGCTGGTTATTCGTTCGACTTACATCAACAACTTCGATCAATTAAGTATGCGCGCGTACAAGTATCTCCCCCGTGCACTTGTGATGTGAAAATGCGTAAAAACGACGAGCCACCTAAAATCAATAAAAATAAACAGAGAAATTAGCTAGTGAGCAGATGGATCGTCTCCGCGTAGCCTTAAAGATAGCTTGCTTGCGTCAAACGTTGAAGGACAGTAGGAAAAACAACAAACAAACACGATAATACAGCCACTCAACTTTACCGCTGAAATATCAAACAAAGAGCTTCAAACGAAAATATTGAGTCATTTGATCGAGTACTTTTTTGTCGAAATTATTCTCGCTGCTCTAACCAAGTATTGCAGTAACCTCACAAACGTTACTGCAACATTTCTTTGTGCAAACTATTTTTTCCGAGCAAATATCTTGTTTGAAATCGATCACTTTTCCGCACTTATAAAGAATAGTTATTTAATGCTTATAATATATGCAAATCACACAGACACTACACTGCTCAAAGAAAAACTTCGCAGTCAATTTTAGATTTCATTTCACAGACACATCTATTTTGAATGGATTCCTACGTAAACAAAAACTTCAGAAGGACTATATCGCTTCGGCACTCACTGGCTGCAGCAACTTTCTCGCTATCGCTATTAGGCATTGCAAGAAATTTTACCCATGACATGTAACATGTAGTGTTCTCTCATTTAAGGTATTGCCACTTCTAATCCTAACACTGACTTCAAAGACTGTGGAGTGGTATCACAATGGAGAACGGAAAAGTCATTAAAAGACGTATCCAAGCGTATCTGTGGGAATTTCTTGTGGGATTGCTGGAAGACGAGGAGTGCGCGCCTTTTATAAACTGGACAAATAAATTTGAGAGAGAGTTTGTGGTTCAGGATCCTGACGAGGTCGCAAGTCTTTGGGGGATGTTGAAAAATCGCCCTAACATGAACAAGACAAAGTTAAGACGCGCTATAAGACAGTACTACAAGCGAGACTTAATAATGAAGGTAAGCGAAGATCTTGCGCAAGTGTTTGTGCGCATGTCCATTTCCGCTCTTAGTTCATAGTGAAAGGTAATTTGCAAGTTTTTATTAGATCTGCAATTTGCATGAAAGGCAGCCAGGCAGGTAAACATAAATAACGACCAGCACGTAGAACGCAAAGAATGATCACCAAAGTTCGATGTTAAAATGATTCGAAATGCACTTCATTGCTGTGCTTCTTTTTGAAATGAAAACACGATTTCTTGCTGTCGGTTTGCTTTCGTCTACGATCACAATACTGAGGTTATTCGTTTTCGGTGTTCAGCTAATGTAACTATTTTCTGAAATTTCCGAAGCATTCTCGAAATGCTTGTTGAAATTATTGGTCTCAGCCACGCAGCAAAATCTTATAGACATAATAACAGCTTGTAGACATTTGAAGGCGGATGAAGGGTGTGGCGCTATAGTCTAAATAGTGGATTGAAGACTCTTCAATAGAAGTCAAACTAAAGAAATACATAGCAGGAGATTTTCTGCTCTCTGCATTTCCATTTCATTACGAGACTGCTAAGCCAGTGTAGGTCATATACATCAAAAGTTCGACTGCTGTATTAGTTTGGTGCATGCAGTTCTGTAAATAAAACTCGTGGTGACGTCATATAAATTTTTGCAGCTCCATTATGCCGTGTTGTAACTGGATATCAAATCTCAACTGCATAAAACAAGTGCAAATATTCTTGTTCGGATACGATTTAATTTACAAAGATGTAAAGTAAATTATATTAAAGATTTAATATACAATCAATGCATGTAAGTATAAATCACATAATTTTGTCTATCGTTGGCTGATATTTTTGCTTAAGAGATAGATTTAGTGCACTAGATATAGATTTAGTATAGAATTAAGTGGGAGAGTCCAAAATGGCAGCAGTCATTATGAAATGGATTAGTAATTTCACTGCAAGCACATGTAAATAAGGTTCTTAAGAGCACCAATGCACTCTTAGAGACTTGAAATTTTCAAGGGTTCTACTTTTGGGTGCATAAAAAATTGCACGCAATATTTTCAAAATATATAAAGCCCATATGTCAAAATTAAACCAGGATAGTGATAAAAAAGACTGTTTTACATCAATTTGATACAACTTGTATATTACGAGGAAATTATTTTGCCAATAACTATCTACGACCGCTATTTTATAACGTGAAGCCGAAGATTTGTTTTCTATAACCTCGAATGTATGTTGAAGATTTGTTGTGCACGTTTAAGGAAGTTTATCTAACGAAGCAAGACGATAAAACGGATGAGCCATAATTGAGTACAAATTCAAGAATGCTCTCAACACTCGCAAGACAAATAACTAATGTCTGCCAACTATGTACACGAAGTATATTTTCACCAAGACTATACAACTACTTAAAATTTTTGTCGTCGGATGCCGAAAGAAGTTGATTACATCTTAGTGTTACCTAATGAGTGTTAGCAAACCACAGAGAAAACATCTAATAAAAATCTATTTATAAATCCTCAAAGGTATTTGATAACGCCGGATACGACTGTTGAAATTATAAACGAGACGCAATATTGACTAGAATAAAGTCTAAAATATCTCGGACAAAACCGACCGATTTCCTTAAAAAATATCCAAGAATGACCAATGAGTCATTTCTCGTTTTTTTATGTAACAGGTCAAAGGAAGAGTTGGTGTGTACAAATTTCTACATCTGCCTTATGATCCAATCGGCCTGAACGCAGGTAGACAGAAACCAGAGTACTACGTGGAAGCCGAAAGCTGCAGCAGTCCCGAGGTTGAAGTGAACGACGACAGTGGCGAGGAAGACCGGCTGAATAACGCAACATCCTAACAACAAGTTGCTGAAAACGTTTGCTTCGGATAACAATCGAAGATAAAACTACAAACTATAACCTCGACCAAGGCATTTATAACATCGTGCTACAGAGAGCCTTCACTCTAAGTTACGCAAAACCTGCTTAGCTTAAACCGTACATTAATCGTTCGTAAATGTTATGAATATGTTATAATAGTTTGGTTAATGCACTATTAAGCTAAATGGGCTTTTGTACAAGCAGCCCTTGGTCACATGCAAGCGAGATTTGTAAATTTCCGTAATGTTTTTTGTCGACAGCTGACAATCAAAAATCGTTCATGAGCCGACATCCTTCCGTTAGTGCTGGCCGATTTTAGCAGCTTCACGAAATCATCTCACGAATTAAGAGTGATATTTTGCTTATTAATAAAATATGTATAAATATATGTAGAACATTGAGGGGTAGGTTGTAGTCTGTGTAGGTCATTAGAGGGATAAGTACTCGTCTGTAGGTCATTGGAGGGTAAGGTAGTAGTCTGTAGGGCATTGGAGGGTTAAGGTAGTAGTCTGTGTAGGTCATTAGAGGGGTAAAGTCGTCAGGTCATTGGAGGGTGGTAGTCGTCTGTATGTCATTGGAGGGTAGGTAGTATTCAGGAGGGGTACGTAGTCGGTAGGTCATAGGAGGGGTATGTAGTCAGGTATATATTGATGTAAGGTAGCATTGTGGTAGGTAATGTAGAGGGTAAGCGTCTGTAGGTCATTGGAGGGTAGGTAGTAGTCTGTAGAGGGGTAAGTAGTCATCTGTAGGTCATTAGGGGTAGGTAGTCCGTAGGTCATTGGAGGGGCAGTGTGGGTAGGGTAAGGTAATATTGTGTAGGTCATTAGAGGGGTAGGTAGTCGTCTGTAGGTCATTGGAGGGTAAGGTAGTATTATGTAGGTTGTAGAGGGTGTAGGTCTGTAGGTCAAAGGAGGGTAGGATAGTAGTCTGGTCATTGGAGGGTAGGTAGTAGTCTGGTCGGTCATAGAGGGATAGGTAGTAGTCTGTAGGTCATTGGAGGGTAGGTAGTAGTCTGTAGGTCATTGGAGGGTAGGTAGTAGTCTGTAGGTCATTAGAGGGTAGGTAGTAGTCTGTAGGTCATTAGAGGGGTAAGTAGTCATCTGTAGGTCATTGGAGGTAAGATAGTAATATGTAGGTCATTAGAGGGGTAAGGTAGTCGTCTGTGGTCAATAGAGGGTAAGGTAGGGTAAGATAGTAGTATGTAGGTCATTAGAGGAGTGGTAGGTCTGTGTATGTCAATAGAGGGTAAGTAGTCGTCTGTAGGTCATTGGAGGTAAATACTTGTATGCGGGTAAGGAAAGAACATTTATAAGCAACGAAAAAATCAGACCGCACAGTGTTTTCATGGAGTCTGAATGGATGATCGATTAGATTGGTGCAGCTCTAATCAGTACCATAGTTAGCAAAAGTGGGGCCAGAACCTTTCTCACATTGAAAAATATAGAGGGTCAATAGGCCATAAGTTTCATCCTTAATTGCAATACATGGCAGATGTATCGGTGAGGTGGGGTAACTGAATAAGTCTATGCTAAATATGGTGCTTTTTTCCCAACCTTGTTCCTCATTTGGCTTATGCAATCCATGATACAATGTTTCATCCTTAGAGGCATATTACAAAATAGATATTTTTCACCATTTACATTACTGCAAGATGAAACAAATTTTGGAACTCGCGGTAGTGGCAGGTATGATTCGTGCATTTTTTTGTAAACGTTTTTACTCATTTGAACTTCGACAGCAAGAATTTCAATGCTACGTGGAAACTTGAAAAGAAAACGACAAAAACAAATAACAAGCAGCATTTGCTGTCGTTTGGATAACTATAACAATATGTTAAAGACATTCAACTGAGAGCAGAAAAATATCAACTGCACATCGTCTCATTGCTCGTACTGAGTCCTGTTATTTTGTGGGGCTTATGACCGAATTTTGGGTTTTATTGATTGCAATGGATCTTCAAAAAGTAATCTACGTTAGCTACTGCGTAAAAAGCTTATTTTCTGAAGTAGAATGGATTAACACGGACTTAAAAAGGTAGCAAATGCGAAGTCGTGGATTCCAAGAATACTTTTCAATATGAAGTTTATAATACAAAAAATATAATGCATTCAGACGGGCAAATCGGGCAGTGTAATCGAATTCTTCGCTTTCTGGTTGAGTTAAAGATAATTTTTTTAAACACATACTGTTTTGTTTGTTATCGATTAATACATGAAATGTAAGCATGATCAAGTCAATTTGATATTATACATATAGAGAGTTTAAAAAAGATATATGGAGAATAGTTAAGTAAAGAAAAAATAGGAATTGCATTCTTATTTTTTCAATGAGGATAATTAGGAGATGAAAATTTCTCAATGAGATAAGTGTGGCACAAAAAAATTCAATGGAGTGGCTCTACTGTATGTTCTCTATATTGTGACACAGGTTTATAGTAAAACATGAATGTTTAAAAAAGTAAAACTAGTCGGACGCTATTTCCTACTAAAATTTCACAATATTTTACGCAGCGAATGTGTTTTCCTGATTACGTCACATCCGGTACAGAGTCTCCTACTTCTAGGCCCAAAAAGTCCATTAAGATGAAATTTTCGACGTATCAAATATGTTGAAAATGTTCTTTAAATCATCTAAAGAAGTTATTTTCCTGACACGAGTGTAGGCACTTCAATATATTCCTGAAATATGCTTCGTCTTTGGAGAGTTTAAAATATCTGAAATATCAGGAAGTGGGTACTGATAACAAAAAGTGACTGTAAAATGTTACAAGTGTGTTAACTATCTTCATCCGCTGGCTAGATTGTTCGAAGATGCACGCGCTGGAAAAGAAGGAACGCGCTCGTTTTCCAAACTTTATAAATGAAATTGAAGGAATTCGTAGTTTTGGATCCTGAAGTTGCAAATCTTTGGGATGTTGAAAACTCGCCCACATAATGAACAAGACAAAGACACGCACGTCATTAGCGCCCCGCAGCAAGGGGCTTAATTTTTTGTCTCGATTGAGAACCGAAATTAATTAATATTATTTCTTGGTCCAAATTTTACCAAGGCATTCTTAAGACTTTACTTCAAATTATTATATTATTGATAAACGCTGTGTTTTATGATAACATATCTTACACACAAAGACATTTTGTTTTCTGCATATAGTATGCAAAGGCTTTTCGTGCTGCGAATCGAAGGGATTTTGCCTTTCACGACATCATGCTAAACGAGATAAACTTCTCGGATGCATGTATGCATAAATCTTGTTAAGCTATCTTTGTACAACTGACCAAAAAAATGAGAACGAACTTAAATTCGAACTATGATGAATGCATAGCATGCATAGCAGCATTTGGACTTTCCAACTTCTTAATGTTCTTAATCATTGAAATACACGTTTTAATAAAAGCTCACACATACATAATTCTAGAACTGAAATATATGGTTGACGAATTTCGAATTTTGAGCTACGAATGCTAACGCCCGACAATGGATTTGTTTTAAATCGATGGTTTAAGATATAGGAAGTCTATAGCTATGGAGTGCTAAATTTCCTTAAAATCTTTTTTCATAGAGCGTGCTACATAGCTACTTAAGATACAGAGATCAGTAACTTATTTCAGGTTTTTTATTTATTCCTGCAGCTGTACATTTATATGGTATTAACTACCTGAAGATACAATTCTACACAAAAGTGTATTTTGAAAGTACTACTGAAGCTCTAAACAAGCTTGTCGCCACCCTTACGTGAATTTCAAATCATGACATTCAATGAGAACATCATGTCAACTGGAGCGATGCTTCTGCATGTGTCTTAAGTACAACTTCTTTATACGAAATCCAAAAATTCTCAAAATCTACCCCTGATAGTAGAGAGTTTGTTTTAAGACAGGAAGTCGATACTAATTACACCAAATGACTCTAGATCTTTACACGTTTGACTTGTCTCCATCCGCTGACTATAGATGTGCGTGCAATTTCGCACTGAAAATATTCCATTCATTTTTTTAGCATATAATGACATTAAAATAAGGCAATTCAAACAGAAACGGATGTCTTATCCGAACAGTGCAACTAATACATCTGCAAAGTTTTCCTGTATTGTAATAGAATGTTTTTGGATGTCTTCAAATCAAGCTGGCTATTTCTACTTGCACAGACTGAGAGCATTCGAAGATAAATGCCCTACAGTACAAATTGTACAAGTCGACCGGATTTTGAAAAAAACAAAGTCCTTTTCATCTTTTTTTAGCACAAATAGGCAGGAATACGAATGAAGATAAAAGTGGGACGCGACTGACCCGTAAAATTCGACTTCCTTCATGGTAGAAACAATAATGCATTGAATATTATTGTAATTATCGACATATATGAGCTGCAAAAGAAACAAGATGGGGCATCGGCAAACGTTTAATGACGATGATGTAGCTATGTATGCTTGGTATTTTCTTCCGAAAATTTGCTCGTGCGTTGGCGTAGATGCTGCTGCGGAATATCTATAGAGCAGCTATCACCGATACAAGAACAGAAACGATAGATAAGATCATACCAGTACAACGTGGCAAATGAAATGTTAATGTCTGGAACAAAATGGCCCAAGCTAAAAGTAAGTGGATTTTCTGTGTACTTATAAATGTAACCAGTATCAATTATATCTTGCTTGTCAATATACTGGTAAAAACTGAAACAGAACGTTTTTTAAAAGGTAATAGGCACAGTACTTTCTTGTATCTATACCATACATTATATACATAATCCTACAGTTGCATCTCTTTCACCAAACAGTTGGAGAAGAGCGATAAAGTTATGAAAAACAATGCATATCTACTTTGTTCGACCTCGTCAATGTATTTACACCAGCATCCACGTGCAACACGTAGAGAAACAACAAGAATTTGCCAGCGCCATTTTTCGTCAATAATGGCCAATAACTGTAGCTAATTCATTCACAGTTTTGGACAATACACGGCAAGTCTATTTTCAAGTCAAGCAAAATATCTTCTCAACAATGTTAGTTGTCGTAAATATAAACAAATTCAATTGCACTAATTAATAAGACCAAGGTATAAATGTGTGTAGCTACATTTCAAAATGAGCTGTGGTAATTTATTATAACGAACATTATATCTGCTATTGCTATAATACATTTATAACATAGTATATCTTTTTTCATGTCAATCTAAGAGTATACCTTCCTTTCATACAAGAAAACTTGTTCAAACGGAAGTTCAGAAATATTCTCATTAAGTACATACAAGTACAATGAGAAGCAAGATTTATGTCAGGAATATATTTCATTTTGCTTATTTAAGAGAGTTCAACTCCTCCTTGACTGAGAAACTTACGTTCGTTTTGAAATCAAAGGACCCCATTAAGGTTGTCTTGTGTTAACTTTGCATTGCATGGAAGG